TTTTCCCTTGCTTGTATCTACGCACTAGAAAAGGGCAGACATCGGAATTGGAATATGGGCCGTGGAAACACTTTACTCATCGATTTTATTACTAAACCGACATCCACCTATTAAAATTTTTATTCATCCTAATTATTTACATCAATCCAATGAATTTAATAACGTTTTTATATACATTATATCATTTAAAAATAATTAATTAATAGTATATAATATCACTTTAATTTTATTACTTAACCATGGTAAAATACTTAAGTTTGTAATATGCATCGGGCGTGAGTAAGTTATACGTCAAATTGGAAAGGTTTTCCCTTTTTACGCTATGGTCTTAAAAATATTAATTTTAAAAATGAGTCGTCACCCTTCTCCAACCCTAATTGCTCAATCTGAGAACGAACAGTTAATGCATTTCACTTATTGAACTAACTATTTTTGGATCAGTTGCGTGCGTCAAAATACACTAACATACAATAATTAAGTGATAAGATTACATATGAATTAATAACAATTAAGAGATAAAACTTATAAGAAAACATATATATTTTAGAGTTACTAAATTGGTGCATATTCTAGGTTATTCCCCAAGCCGAAATGTTAACTTTTTTTTTTTACTCTCCATTATACCTTGGTCTACTCATACCTTTGTTATTAACAAATTATTTTGTATTTGTCATCGTATTAATGGAGCTTTAGTATCAAATGGATGAACTCCACGTGTTGAAATACTTCAAAAAATATATCCAAATTTGCCCTTTTGCTTTTGATTTTTGATTATTATTTAGAGTTACCTTCTGTCATGCTTCAAAGTTGAAGATCCGTTAGGTTCAAGGCAAAACGAGTCCATTTTTTCTTCTAAATGTGAGTAAAATTAGAGCAAAAGATAACGGAGTGTAAAATCTAAAAATTTCTGCTAGTAGTAGGACATATTTAACCTCTCTCTCCCGAGATAAAAGCACTGCTACAATTTGGTAGGAAGATTAATGCTTTGACAATTTCTGGCCACAGAGTGACTGTCACGATCCGGATTTTCCATCCTCGAGGGTCGTGATGGTGCCTACTAATAGGAGCTAGGCAAGCCAACTTAATTAACAAATTCATTAAACACATGTTCCTTTTTAACAATTAACGGTATTAAATAAAGGCGACGGAATTAAAATCATTAGCGGAAGACTTAAATTATATAACTGAATAAAATACAGAAATTCCAACATATGTCTCTACCCCGGGACTGGTGTCACATACTCACGAACATCTAAGGAGTACTACATACAAAGTCTGAAAGAAACATAATCTGTTTATCTCGGGTACAATGAGATGACAGCCAAATGTAAAGATAGAAGGGAGACGCCGGGCCTGCGGACGCCTGCAAGCTACCTCATGTCTCTCTGGACTGAAGGTTCGCCCCCGTGCTAATGTTGCTGCTGCTGCTGCTCAATACCTGGACCTGTGCAAAAATGCACAGAGTGTAGCATCAGCACAACCGACCCCATGTGCTGGTAAGTGCCTAGCCTAACCCCGGCGAAGTAGTGACGAGGCTAGACTGGACCTCACATAAACCTGTGCAATTATAAATATACAGCAAAAATCGAAGTACAAGGCAACTAACAGTATGGGAGGGAAACATGTTGTGGGTAGATAACAATATTAACAGTAAATCCAAAGTAATCAATCTAAGTGCAATTTAAAATTTCCGGCGGACAAGAAACTAATACCAACACTAAACACATTTGTATCAATAACTGTTGCGGCGCGCAACCCGACCCTAATATATTTCAACACTGTTGCGGCGTGCAACCCGATCCACAATTATCACTGTTGCGGCGTGCAACCCGATCCACAATTATCACTGTTGCGGCGTGCAACCCGATCCACAATTATCACTGTTGCGGCGTGCAACCCGACCCACAATTATCACTGTTGCGGCGTGCAACCCGATCCACAATTATCATTGTTGCGGCGTGCAACCCGATCCTCATATAACATTGTTGCGGCGCGCAACCCGATCCGTAATGTATACCTCTCAACCTTGCCCAAGCAACAGTCACAAATAAAGGGCAGGGAGTGAACAAGTATTTGGAAGGAAATCCCAACAAGGGTACACAAACAACCAATAACAGCCATGCAAGAGTAAATCGTTATTTCTCTTTTTCTTTCATTTTCATATCCTAGTTCTCATTAGCACTCGTGTCAAGCTCCAAGGCATTTCTCATTTCATATGCTCTCACCATTTGTATTTCAGACCGAGCCAATGCTCCACGAAGTTCCACAATCACAATATCCTTCACTAGGTGTTTACAACGCCTAGAAGCCATCAATTAAGCATGGAAGGCATAACAATATCCAAACAATCCACATATAAGGACTCACGGTCATGCTAGACCCCAATGTATAGGAACTCGTCACCATGCCTATACATCGTACTCGATCATTTAGCAATTAGCAAACAAGACTCGACTCCTATTCCCTCAAGCTAGGGTTAAACCAAATACTTACCTCAACTTCCGCGGCCAATACAATCCTCCACAATCGCTTTCCCTCTCGAATTCGGCTCCAACTCAACCAAATCTATGCAATAAGGACTTCATGTTATCAATATGTGCTAAACAAATCAAACCTAATGACTAATTATAGCTTTTTCATCAATTTACCCCAAAAGGTCAAAAATGCCCCCGGGCCCACATGGACAAAATCCGAGGTTCGAACCAAAACCCGATTACCCATTCCCCCATGAACTCAAATATGTAAGTTATTTTGGAATCGGACCTCGAATTGAGGTCCAAAACCCCCAAATATTAGAAAACCTAGGTTCTACCCTAAATTCCCAATTTCCCCATTAAAATCATTGTTTTGAAGTTTGAAATTATGTATAAAGATGCTAACGAGTAAAGAAAATGAGTTAGAAATCACTCACCAATTGTTTTGGAGAAGAAGAATCGTTTGGAAAATCGCCTCTTGTGTTTTGGGTTTTGAAAAAGTGAAAAATAACTGAAAATCCCGACCTTATATACCCTTCTGAAGACTCAGCGCGGACCGCGCAAAAGTGCACCGCGGCCGGGCTGAGGAGCTGGAATTTCACACTCTCTGAATCCACCCAACGCGGACCGTACTGATTTAGCACGCAGTCGCGCTGAGGGAATGGACCAAACCCCTCTCTGAATCTCCCAGCGCGGACCCCGCTGATTAGTCACGCGGCCACGTTGGTTGACTTGAACCACTGGCCCTCTGAACCTAGCCACGCGGACCGCGCAAGAATGCACCGCGGCCGCGTGGCTTCCAGAGCGGACCGCGCGGAATCGACCGCGGGCGCGCTGGGGGCCTGCAACTCCCTAAACCTGCAACCATCTGATATATCTAGCCTAAGACCTCCCGGGACCTACTCAAAACTCACCCGAGCCCTCGGGGCTCCAAATCGAACATACATATAAGCTCAAAAACATCCTACGGACTCATCCGTGCGATCAAATTGCCCAAACAACATCATAATCATCAAATTAGGCCTCAAGACCCAGGATTTCCTTCCAATTTTCATAAAACATCAAGTTTAGAGTTTTTAGTCCAAAACAGGTCAAACGACGTCCAAATTCAACCAAACTTTACAGAAAGTACTTAAGTCATATATAATACTTGTACCGGGCGTCGGAACCAAAATACGAGCTTGATACCACAGTCTTTTAATCAAATTTCACTTTCCAATTCCTTAATTATTTTCAGAAAACAATTTCACATAAAAATTCATTTCTCGGACTTGGGACCTCGGAATTGATTCCGGGAATACACCCAAGTCCCATATTTTCCTACGGACCCTTCGGGACCGTCAAATCACGGGTCCGGGTCCGTTTGCCCAAAACGTTGACCGAAGTCAAACTTAATCAATTTAAATAACAAGATTTAACAATTTTTCTCACAAACTTCATATTTAAGTTTTCCGGCTACGCGCCCGGACTGCGCATACAACTCGAGGCAACCCCAACTGAGGTTTCCAGGGCCTCAGAAGTACAGAGGGAGTAGGAATACAGGTGATGACCCTTTGGGTCGTCACATCAAACGACCTTTTAATGACATATTTACTATAGTTTTAAACTTGTTATTAGACCAATCATTACAAGTAAAATAATGAAAATGCTAAGCACATTACAAATCAAAACTTACCGGCTGTGGCGGAATCAGAATTTTTGTACCAATCATTACAATATATGTTTAGTTTTTTTATTTTTATTTTTTTTACGAAACAGATCAACTTTGATCGGTTTTCTTTGGCGCAAAAATGCGTGAAAATATTTTTGAGTCTCGCAAAATTTATTTTTCAAGAAACCAACAAACTTTGCTCGGTTTTTCATTTAAAATAAATTAAAATTAATATCAAAAAAATCGACCGAAATCGGTCGGTTAATTCGGCTGGTCATTTTAAAAAACCGGCCGAATTTGGTCGGTAATTTTATTTTTTAATAACACCGACCAACTTTGGTTGGTTGTTTACGTGCGAAAATTCAATTAAAGAGTATAAATGAAATAAAAGACAGTCTTAAAACAAAATGCACCAATGGTCTAGTGGTAGAATATTATCTTGCCACAGTACAGACCCCGATTCGATTTCCAGATGGTGCATGTCTTAATTACATAATTAAAATACCGACCAACTTTGGTCGGAAAAAACCGACCAACTTTGGTCGGTAATTTCCGACCAACTTTGGTCGGTATGCCTTTCCGACTTTCAAAATACCGTCCACGCGTAAATGATCGCGTTTTGGACGGTTATTTGCCATTACCGAACCACTTTGATCGATTTTTTGCCCCAATTTTTAGTAGTGCCTGCTTATCAGGGAATTTAACATGGATTTCATATATATTCTTATTGTGATACTTGTTATTTCTATTATATAGAAAAGAGAAGTGCAGGTCGACCAAGGGCAAAAGAGATATTTAATCAAATATGCAAGGGTAAAATGGTGATATCATAAAAGATTTTTATATACGTTGTCACGCATGCGTAAGTCAAGCGGCTTTGTTTCTCGCAGATAAACTCAAACGTAACTCTAGAAGCATCTTCTTTCATCTCTCCGACATGCTTCATCAACTTTTCATACTACTCTTTCCTTCCGACTGAAAGAGTCTCCTTTATCTTCTGAGTTGGTTGTCGCCATTTTAGGTATGTTAATTTCAAATGTTTGGCACCTAAATTTTGTTCCAATTCTATCTTCTGATTTTTTCAAATTTAATGGCTGAAATTTTTTGGTGATATTGTCATTAATCTGCCAACTCTCTTTTCAATATTCTTCTGCTTTATTTTTTTTCTTTCTATTTCTCTTTTGCATTTACTCTATTTCTTTTCACGATGTTTACTTTCAGACTTTCCTAGACTGCATAGTTGTTTTCATTTTGTTAGTTGAATGCTACAATTTTAGGCCAGCTTTCTGAAAATAGCAAATCGAAATTTATCAGAATTGTATTTCCCTCCTATCTTTATATATTTCTTTCACTTTCATGTAGCTAGAAGCTTCTTTGTTTTTCTGTTTTGCTCTATTAAGTATTTTTTGGTTGCAGTGCAGCTCCTGTAAATAGTATAGTTTGGCCAAGGCAGAAGAGTATCTAAAGTGATTAAAGACCCCAATCGGTTACATATTAGTGCTTCTCCAATTTTGAGGCTTAGTTTGACTTTCTTTTGAAGCATGGCATGGCATGGCAGAATTCTTTCATGGAAATATTTGACCTTTTATTAAATAATGGATCTTGATACTTTTTTTATGTAGATTAAATTTACACTTAGATATACAAATTTATATCTTAGTCGTGCTTGGTCTTGCTGTTTCGTTTGTTTTCAAAATAGTAAAGAGATCACATGTCAAATGATTGAACAAAAATAGAAGAAGCTTATACTCACCAGAATAAGAAACTTGAAGTGATCTGAATGAAGTGAGACTCTTTATGGTTGGTGGATGCAATGCATGATTTTGGGTTTCTTTAACGGCTACATAAGAAGATAGATCCAAATATATTTCTAAGCCATTTCATGGTCAAGCTTTTACTTGATTTTGTTATAGACGAGAACCATGAATCTTGTTAATAAAAAAAACATGAGTTGCATTGGCAGAGCATAAATAAGAAGGGAGAAAAATAAGAGCTATGTATATTATGACAGTACTTTTGCCTGTATTTGAAAGTTAATTTTGTTAAAACCTTATTCAAAATTCGCAAATGATCTCAGTAGTTTAGTCATCCAAGTAAAACTTTAGTTTCGGTTCTGATTTTATTGTAGTCAAGAAAATTAGTAGAGCAGTTTAAGGATATATATAACTATCATTTTTTCTTCTTTTAGATGATTTGCCCCTATATCTAAGTCCTCTCGTGTTATTCACTTCTTAGAAATAGCACAATCAGAATTCAAGGAAAATAAAAGATGAATTCTTGTGGAAAGATTCTGCTGATTACTTTTTCTGAGTCAAAGTATTCAAACTTTGATGATAATCTGAAGCTATCTTTAAGGTCAATTCTTTGTTGGAAAATGAAAATTTCCACTTAGCCTGAATGTGCCTCTGAACGACTGACTTTATGTTTAAGTTTTCAGGATTGGGTGAATGCCTTTAGGAAATAAGTGGAGGAAATATTAAACGATATAGCTTGAGATGTTTCTGATAAACTTGAATTTGAAGGGAAAAACGACCAACTTCTAGCAAATGTATTGAGAAAGCTGATGAATACAAATGGCTAATAAAAAGCATAGTAGAGTTTTACTTCTTAACTTAAATGAACATGAATTTGAAAGGAATAAAGACTAATTTATAGCAAAAAAATAGGAGCATGTGTTGAGAAAGTCGATGAATACCAATGACTAATGAAAAAGCATCGAAAGAGTTGTTCCTTCTTAAAATCACACATGTCGTTCATCTCCACTAAGGAAGTGGTGCTGATTTCATGTAATCATCTCAAGCATGTGACATAAAGTTCAAGACCTGTTCTGAATATAAATATCTTCAAGGGTGGTGCATATTCTTACAAAAAGTAAGCTTATAGGCATTGGGGGAACTAAAGTCTTTGTATGGTTTAAGGTCTGATATATCTTTGAAAATAATCTGGATGTATGTTCTTTTTTAAAATCAAGTTCATGGCTGACACACACATATTAGGTGTTTTAATCTGCATGTATATATATTTAAGCACAATAGTATTTTGTTGGACATATTTGTTAATGTAATTGGAGAAGGGAAAGCAGACTTTTCACTGCTTGAATGCTACGATGCCGAATTTCCTTTGAAAACATAGTCATTTTATTATGTCACTTAGTATTGTTTAAGAATTTCAACTGTGTTTCAGCTGATGCAATGTAAATTTTGCAAGCAAATCTCAATAGTTGGGTCGCGAGCGCGGGCCAACATTCATCTAGTATATAAAGAAAACCGAAAAGAAAGATTTCTTGGTCGATTGAGCAGTAATAGGGGGTGGTTGGGTGGCTGGTGTGATTACTACATTTTTGTGAAAGGCAAAACTTATCAACTCAATTGATAAGTGACCTTTTGACATTATCCACTCGCATTATTAATAAGTGAACTAATAAGTCAGTCATGCTTTTAATTCGTCGGCAAGCAATTATGTACGTGGCATTTAGAAGCTGTTAGACTATTTCAATTATTGGGTTCATAATAAAATATTGCACACTTATACTAGCATGTAAAAATTATTCACACTGTGTAAACAAGTCACTTAAAAGGAGTAATTAAATGTAATATGGTGAAAATGACAACTAACATATATTGCACCATATTAAATTATGTTGATAGCGTCCAAAATTATCACAACACCGGGATATATAACTTAAATCTTTCTAGCAAGATATGTCAGGATAAGGTTGTGGGAATTGAACCAGCAACCTCACAAAGATTTGACCACCGAACTATGCTTTCGGACTGTAGCAAGGAAATTCGAAATATAATTAATATATAAAAATGCCAAATGAATTTTACCTTATGTGTATAATATATAATTCTCCGGTGAATAAGATTCGGATGAACCCCTTTCGCTACTAAATTTGCCCATGCCAACAAGTTGATAAAATTTAGTATTCCAGCTAGTAGTTTATTGCATGATAATCCGATAATAATACATGAACATTTAATGTACGATTTCCCCACATGATGTGTCCAAAATTTTAAAGGAATTTAAAAACCTGGTGGTACACTATTAATGGATAATGAATCCACAGAAATACCATTCAGAAATGTGTTGCGGTCGAGATTTTAAAAATTACCTTGAAATGGTTTAATTACGTTTACTTCTTGTTAGGGGTGTTCGCGGTTTGACGGAAAACCGATCCAAACCGAAAATCGAACCAAACCGATTAAGTAAACCGATATTTTTTTTTGATTTGGATTGGTTTTGGTTTTAAATTTTAAAAACCGATAATATTTGGTTTGGTTTTGGTTCTATTTTAAAAAATCGAAAAATAAACCGAACCAAACCGATTAATTATATACAAAATTTAATAATTATTTATATACAATATAATATCTTTTTGTTAATAATTTTAATTGTTAATTTGAATTTTGGTTTATCCTGTTATATCTTAAAAGATTGCCTAAGCCCATAACAATAGGATTCGACCAATTTTCTTTTCATTAATAGACACTAATTCTCTAACCCCGCACATACTTTTGCCTAAAAGAAGAGGTAAAAAAAAACCACCACAAGAGTAAAGAAAGTACATTCAAATTGCAAGACAAGCTAAAGCTTGAGAAAGCAACCTTATAATTTGTTTTTTGTTCATTCTTTTCATATAAACATGTAAATAAACTTTCAGTTCTCAAAGAAATATATAAAAAGCATAAATTTGGCAAATTATTTTCAGATTGTTGTCTAGCGTTGTTTTAATATTATCGACTTATCATTAGCTTACTAAGAACCGAAAAACCGAACCAAACCGAACCAAACCAACAACAATCAAACCGGTGGTTTGTATTTAATTTGGTTTGGTTTTGGTTTTAAAATTTTAAAAACTGATTAAATTGGTTTGGTTTTGGTTTTAATCAAAAACCGACCAAACCGAACCGTGAACACCCCTACTTCTTGTAGTTCCATTTTATATGACACTATTTTTTTATTAGTTCGTTTAAAAAATAGCGATAATTCTTTGCATTTAAGAATAATGTTACATTAAATTTTATATTTTTCCTTAATAACATGTATTTATTATTACAGAAATTTATGACATATTTAAAATGACAAGTTCTAAAAATTGTTATTTGTTTCTTAAATTTTACGTCTAATCAAACTACACCACATAAGTTGAATACTCCTTCTTCTATTGTGCAGGGGTTTCTCATCTTGCACATTTTCGAAATACAAACGTAACCTACTAATTTCATTATAAGAATTTGCAAATTTTTCCCTGACTTCATAAATATCAGTGGTTAATTATTCGTCATTACATGTCAGTTTAACCTGATAATGCAAAATATATATAGACTGTTACAGGGCGGGTGTAGCGCTACAGTAACGCATTTAATTGAACCCATAACTTTAACACGGAGTACAAATTTATGTTTTAAAGTTCACTGAAACTGCAATAAATTTTGGATATGAACCCATAACTTTATAAGGATATAATGAGTTAAATACTAAAGAGCCTTAAAAGTTGAATCTGTAGAATATAAATCCTGGATCCGCTTCTGCACTGTTATGGTATTAGAATTATGTAAATATCTTTTTAGAACTCAAATATGAACTCTTCACTCTCCTCACCGGCCAACTGAATATTGGTCCCCTCAGAAATTAATACCCTTCTATTCAATCAGTTATGTACTCAAATTTTACTATAAATAGAGCCCAATAATGCATCAATTTCTCCATCCTTCAATTCAAGTAACATTACTAAACTTTGACAAAAGATGGGTTACAAGGCATTTCTGTTTCTTGGCCTTTTTTTGGCCATTTTTCTAATGATAAGCTCTGAGGTTTTAGCTAGGGAGTTGTCTAAGACTTCCACCACTTCAGCAGAGGACTGTAAGACCCCTCTCATTATTTGCACATATATATATATATATATATATATATATATATATATATATATTCAATTCTCTTCTTAATTCAATATTATTTAAATTCCACTAGAACAAGTACGTACTTAGAGTTTGAAATTACTGTATACTCCCTTCGATCCACATTAATTTACTCTTTGGTTGTTTTTACACATATTAAGGAATTTATCTTTTAGCATTAATTAATAAATTGATCATATTAACCTTAATTTATTTATTGAAAAAAAAAACTCCTAGGCTCTTTACTCTAAGGCCAACTTTGAAAAAAAGAAATTAAGTTCTTCTTGATATTTGAAAAAATCAAATATTGTTAACCTAAAAAAAAGGCCAAAAAATCGATTAAATTGGACCGGAGAGAATATTTACTAAGTTGTATAATTACTAGGATAATAATTGCACATTTGTCATGAAAGAAGAGTATATAAGTAAAACCTCCATTAATTTTACATTTTGCATATAAAATTTTTTAAACCTACTAAAATATTATATCTTACAACTTTATGGAATGCATATTTTCTAATTCTGTGCTAGGATCACATAACAATAAGCTAAAAAGGGAAGAAGAATAAAAAGTTAAAGAACAATATTCTTGTTTTCACAATTGATGCAGCAAACAAAACCACTAGCAAGAATGAAGTACATGAAGCTCAATATGGTGGTGGAGGATACCCTGGCGGTGGCGGCGGATACCCTGGAGGCGGTGGCGGATATCCTGGCGGCGGCCGTGGTGGTGGTGGATACCCCGGTGGCGGCCGTGGTGGTGGTGGATATCCTGGCGGTGGACGTGGTGGTGGCGGACGTGGAGGTGGCGGACGCGGTGGTGGTGGAGGATACTGCCGCTATGGTTGCTGCGGCCGCCGGAATTACAATGGTTGCAGCAGGTGCTGCTCCTACAAAGGTGAGGCCATCCATGGATAAGGTCACCATATAAAACCTTTGTACTTGCAAGATGTAATAGTAATAATCTTGCAGCTTTTTAGAGCTTGTTGTAACAAGTTATGAATAAAATTAAGTCATCATTTAATATTTCTGTTAATTATACAACGGTGTGATAATGTTTTCCTTTTGAGCATGTTCTTATCTTTTCTTAACGGATAAGAGATTTACTTTAATACGTAAGAGATCTGTTTTTTACACATAAGAGATCTAAAAAAGCTAATTTCTTAAATTCAAAATTGTAGAGGAACATGATGTACAAAAGCATGAAATAATCGAAGAGAACGTAAGAAAAAACCATTGTCCATAACAAGAGATGTGGGGTTCGAGTCTAGGTATATGGAATCGCATTGGTTAAGAAGCGCTTTGATTATCCCTTAATATGAGATCTTTCATCCCGAATACGAATTTAGCTAGGCCTCATACGAATACCGAATACCGAGCGGGAAAAGAAACACAAATTAATTAATTTCGATTTCCTTCGCAATCCAAGCCTTCAAAATGGAAAAGGCAAGAAAATAGGGAAAATGATATTCTATAGCTGCTCTCAAAATGATAGCCAAAAAGTGTATATTTTTTGTATATATATATAAATGTTCTGTATGTTATATACAAAAATTATACAAATTTTCTATACTTTTTCACCTACCAAATGTAAATAGTTTCTTGCGCGGGCTAAAAGTGATAATACCCCAAAAAATAACGAGACCCACGACATATCCTTAAAAAATAATTGGAAAATGCTACTCAACGGACGCATTTATATTGTTCGGTAGTGTTTACCCTAAAAATTGGATAACAATTAAACTTATAATGTGGTTTTAAGGACACGTGATTTCACCTAATATCAATTTATGAATATGAAAATCAGTAGCAGAAATTAACAGCAAAATTAAGTAAACCATTATTAGAACAAAGTTCAGCCCTCGAGCTTAGGTGCCCTCGAACTGATCGGTGCACACGTGAGTTGGTATATCTATGACATTTTTATTTCAAATGATGATGGAGGTTCAAAATGATGAAACTGCACAAAAGAATCCAAGCTTTGTTTTGCCAATTGTGGCTAAATTTATCTACACCTACATAAGAATAACAAACAAACTTGGATCAAATATATATATCTGATTTGGGAAGCTATGAGAAAACGAATTCCCCCGTCTAATTTGATGAATTGTAGTAGAAAAGGGTTAAAGCTTTCAGCAGTTACAGCTTCCATTCCCTATTACACAGTTTTCATCATCAGAAAATTCTATAGAAAAAAAAAAGGAAGAAATAAAAAAGAAATCAAGCAACAATATTGTTGAGAGTCTTGAGACCCCACCAATATGTGGGACCCCAGTTCATCAGCCAAGATCATAGTATCTTGCTCAAGAGACTTTATTTCTGAAAATATCATATATTTAAGAAATGTTAACATACATATGAATTGATTTACTAACTTTAAAATGAATTAACAAAATCTATATCTCAATGACAACAAAAGAGGAAGTATTATTGCAGCATCAAACACAATTTCTCCGGTGGAGATGTGTATTGCTTTGAGCAAACTTCCCTCGTTTAGTAGCTAGTATTCAAGGTAGATGTTGAAAGGAGTACCCCTAGCCATAATTTTATCATTGCCGGATTGCTACATGAGTTGAAGCACATGGATTACATACCTCCTGCCCAATACTCAGCAACATGACTATCTATGAATAATTCCAGCTGGTGAAATGTGATAATAATTTAGCAAGCAGTAGGGATCCTTCACTTAAACAGGACATATTTGAGTAGTAATGAATCATTTTATTTTATTTGGCATCCTACAACCACCTATTAAGCAAAAAGCAAAAAAAGAAGAGAGGCAAGGACAACAAAATCAATCAAAATAGATAACTATGAACTTCATATGGATCAAACTAACACCTTTATCAATGATAAAGGCAATAAATCAGTCTGTCTATGCATATTTTCTAGTAAGATGCATGTAGTTAAGTACCTTTACAAGCATACTGCCATAGCAATTTTCGACGACCTGTAGAATTTTTGCATTTGGTCAAAGTTTGGTTGCACTTATCAATAAATTAAAGCACAATTGACATGCCACCGTGGGTACCATTAGGATGTTTACTGCCATACAACTAAAATGCTCGAGATGAAACAACTGCTATAACCATCCTATGGCAGATGAATCCACGTGTTGGCCACTAAAAGGATACACATTGGATCTAAGATTTTCAAGTTTGTACTTCAGAATTTTCTCAAATTCTAGCAGAAACATTCATCTTTTGTTTTATCTGTGTGTTTTAACTTCAAGACTACACATGAAGATTAAAAACACAGCTACTTCTATACCTGCAAGCTGTTGGCTTTTTAGTTTCCCACTATCTTAGTCCCTGCTCATGCTTGCAAGCATGATACTTGTGAATCTGGAAACGCCCAATTCAATGTCTCAATAGAAATTTGAAAAAAGAAATTCCTTTTGAAAACGACAATTAAGGTTTTCCTGCAAAATGTCACTTCCTCAAATTTTACTTTGGATTTTTCTTGTACTAATCCTCAAAATCCTTTTGAGTTCTTCAAGTTTAAAGCAAATCTTCAAGTTTTTCATCTGTAAATCTTCCAAGTTTGATCATTAACTCTTTCTCTTTTCAAACAACAAACATCCCCGTTTTCCTTTGTTCATAAAGATAGAAATGGCCAAAACATCTAAAACCGTTCCGCAGAAGAAAAAAGCTTCCTCATCTAAGCCGGCCTTCGATAAAACACCAGTGGAGCCACGCCCTGAGGAGTGCGTTCCTCGGGGGGGGGGGGGTTGATCTTACTTCCAACTTCAAAGTTGAGAAAACTTTGTCTGTCCCTGGACAGTGTGAGCGAATGTCGAGATACGTGTGCTTGATAACTGAGAGTGACCTTGAGCAGGTCAAGAAAGACTGCCATTGGGAGAAGATAGAGGTGGTGATTCCGTCCCCTGAGGAAGATAGCACTACCCATGTGAAAGGGTTTCTAAGTGTTTACACTTACCCATTCACGCTGGGCCCTGTCGATCCCGTCGTCATTGATTTTTGCCGCCAATATCAAATAACCTCATCCGGCTGTATAGGCCCCATTTTTTTCGAGGTGGGTTGATAAAGCTTCAGCGTCGGGCCATCAGGGTGTTGTTCTCAAGCATAGGCGAGGACAAGGATCGGGGGTAGATGGGTCGGTTCGTTTGAGTGAAGACTTACGACCTAATTCCGGCCAAGAAGATGCCATTTCCCGAGAAATGGAATTTGAAGCGTAAGTTCAATCCTTCCTTTAGCTTCCATTTACTGTTTTCTTTCCTTTACTTCTCCTCATCGATATCCTTTTCTATGATGTAGCGGTCGAACCTCGAGATCTGGGTTCGGACCCTAGCTTCGACCTCCTCGTACGCTGAGAGCTCATGGCGCGATTTAGAAGGGGCCGATGGGAGGCCAAAAATCACGGCAAGCCTTTTCTTCACGTATCCGATGGCTTTTGTTAAAATGTTTTCCTCTTATACTTACTTGACTTCCTTTCATACAGGCCTCGGGAAAGATGTTGTTATGAGGCCCCCGTCCGGGGAGGAGGAGGTTTCGCCCCTGGTCCCGAAGCCATCGAAGGAAAAGAAAAGAAAAACGGTCTCACCCTTCGATACTCCGAAGGCCAAGAAGAGCAAGGCTCGCAAGTTGAAGAAAGACACCGCCGTCCTGCCTGCTGATGTAGCTCAGCGACTAAGGGATGAATAAGAGGAAAATGAGGATGCCAACTTTGAGCTAGTAGCTCGAACAAAGAGGAGCGCCGAGGCCCCAAAGGCCGCTGAGCCGGTGATGATCGAAGAGGTTCAGCCTTGGATCGAGGAGATCTCGGAAGATGGCCCGAGCAAAGTTCCCGAGTCGTTGGAGGCTGAAGATGCCTCCCGCCGTGATGAGCAATCGGCGAATGTGCCTGAAGGGGCCGGTGCTGAGGCCCTTCAAAACGAAGAGAACGCTCCAAGTGACTTTCTTGGGGCAATAGATATTGGCGATTCGCCGCCCCTCCCCACATTTTCTGAGGGGCAAATTCAGGAAGCCCATGCCATGGGGACCCCCGATGCGGGAACGACCCACGAAGGGTAGGGCCTTTTCCGTGGTTGCTTCACGGGAGTCAAAGATGCTACCGACCTGGGTGATGTATCGAATATCTTCGATGAGGCTCAACGACCTCTGAACCGGGTAAGCCTTAGCTCCTTCATCAATATTGCGCTCGTATTCATTTCTATTTTCCTGATTTCCTTTTCCTTTTTCATAGGCCTTGACACTTCATCGAGAAGCATTTTCTAAATCCCGGGCAGCTGAGCCAGTGCGAGGCCGATCTTAACAGGCTCACGGAGGAGAAAAATGCCCTCAAACACATAGTGGGCAAAGAGAAGTGGAGTTCAGGGACCTCCGAGCGGAATTGGCCATAGCTCATAAAGAGCAGACCGACCTGATTGAGCAGGTAAGGAAAAAATTTTTAGAAGCTCGATGTACCAATTCGGGAATGATGACTAATACTTTGATCCTGTAGGTTCAGCAGAAGGCCGAAAAGATCGAGCAGCTTCGTGAGGAGGCCAACATGATGAAGTCGGATACTTTAGGGTGGAAGCAGAACATGGACCGCCTTGCCTCGGAGAAAGATACTTCTCGAGCCTAACTGTCATAAGCCGAACGCCAACTCCATAGCATGAAGGGGGAAAGCTCGGCCCGGGCCAAGAAAATTGACGAGCTCGAGGCTCGGTTGTCCGCCGAACTTGCAAAGGCCACATCTGAGGTTGAAAAGATAAAGGCTGACGTGGAGGCGATCGTGGCCATATACCGAGCTGATGCCGAAGCTGCTCAAATTTGAGCAAAGGAAGTTGCTGATATGGCTCAGGCTTGATCATACTGGGTTGTCGAGCATGTCAAGTACCAGTCTCGAAGAGAGACTCTTGAGGAGGTTCATGCTCGTGGCTTCGACTTTGTTGTCGATATTGAGAACACGAAGGTACTCGAGGCCCAAGCCAAAGCGTTTCACTCTTCCAATGATGATGATTTCGGGAGCGCGAGTGGATCCGAGAGTGGAGGGGATTCTGATGACGGAAATGCAGCTCCCGAAGAAAAGTAGGCACTTTTTTTGAATTTTTTGTGTCGG